TTTCTTATCTGCTTTTATTATTTTGTGGCAACCTCCAGTTGCTAGGGAATAATGTGTATTTCCTGACCAGTTGGTGAGCGGTTACAGGAGGTTGCTGACTCCTCGTGATTGCTTCAATTGCTAGCAGATTTTTAAGACTTACACTGATATTTGGTGATTTAAATATCCAATCTATTATTCAATTTTTTTCTGTCAGACATAAAAAAAAACTTAAATAGATTTCCCCAACATTTGTTATGTGTAGTTTTTTTTCACTAAACCTAAATGAGATATTACGAGATATTGTCATAAGTTACTTATTTACCTCCTACCTTACTTGGCTCAGATGAGCTTATTGTGGTGTTCTAAACACTTTTAGCCAAGTTGTATAGTGCCCTCTGGTGGACAAACTGTCCATCATCAACACTTGTAAAATGTTTGAAGGGTGTTTCTAATATAGTTTCTACCTTTGGAAAATTTTGTAAAAAAAAACAAAACCAAAACAAAATGGTTATAAATCATAAATAGCTACCTGTAGTTTGCATGGAGGTTGTCAACTTATTTGAAAAGACTCTCCATTTACTCTCTGACCTGTAGAGAAATAATAGATCGCCTTTGACAATTCAAGTAAAATGCAAAAAGTGTGACACAAACCAGAAATGGAGAATATCAACACATTTTCAACACATTTCAAAAGATTCAACTTTTACTCTGAATGCAAAGGGTCTTTTCAAATTTCATTTTTAAGAGTTTCACTCTTGCCTGGCAAGGAGCTTGCATGAGTCTGCAGACAAGTTGGCATCTTCTAATAAAACTACCTCTAATAAAACAACAACAAAGTAATGAGCAAAGTAATGAAAATAAGATTTTTGGGTGGTGCACAGCATATCTCTTTGCGACTAGTTTCACCCTAGTGACTGCCAGCAACCTCCATCAACTATTCCCCAACCAGTTGCAAAATACACAGATTTATCTAGTAACCAGTGGTTACCAGGGGGCTCTTGCATCCATAGGCCTATGTGAATGCAGTTTTAGTGATTGATTTCACAGCAACTGCCAGCAACCACCAGGAAGCACTCAGGAAATACACATTTTCACCTTGATTTCACTCGGTTGCCAGGTCTCTAGGCCTTTGTGACTGAGGCCTAATATCCGTATAACAAAATATAGCAGGTCTAATGCCTGCAGAACAACTTTAGCTAAAAACTGGTTGGTAGTTCCTCTCTTTCTACTACATACTGTAACCAAGATGGGGACTTTTAAAGCTCACAAATGCAGTGCATTCCACACTTAACTTGTTTTGTCATTATAAATAGACCATCCAAGGAGCGTCCAGTGCAGTTTTAAATGTAAGATTTAAGACACAGCAATAGTATCACATTAACCTTGTGGACCAAGTCAGTTGACTAGCCTTAGGTGACAAGTTAGTGAATTTAATCACTTCTGGCTTACAAAAGCAAAGATGAACACAGCCCAAATGCCAAACTGGAGGCTTCAAAATGAACCACATAAACCATATGCTTGTGTCTACTAGTTTTAAACCCAGGGTACAAAGAGGAGCTTGGAAAACAGAAAACAACAAAAAAGTTTCTACCAGAATGGAGTTAGTTTAAGAAAGCTAGTAGAACAAAATGTAACTGAAAAAGCACAACAGAAGCTTTCAGAACACAAAATCAGAAAATAGCTAAGAAAACATGGTTTAAACTAGAAAGAACCACCAGGATTGGTCTCTCTTAAACTGTGCTTTATAACAAATCAGACATTTCTACCATGTTTCTAGGTGAATAGGACAGTGTTCTGCATAGGGCCAGTGTGTCACTTGTTGCCACTGAAGGGTACACAGTTGGCTTTCAGAAATAACTTGTGATTTCTATGTGAACACTGCATTTCATTGTCTGTATACCGCTCACTATCATTACATTCAAAAAGAAGAGAGAAGTGTTTCTATCTACTTTTTTCTTAGTTTCAGCACATTTTCCTGTGTTAATAATAATAAATACGTGATGGCGTAGTGATGGCAACCAGTTAAATACATTAGGACCCCTCTATTGTTTCTTCGAATTGTGCGAGACAAAAAGCTCCGCTGTTTTGACAAACAAGTCTGGAAGCAGAGTTGAAATATGGCTTAGAGTCAAAACAGGGTTAATTGCTGTCACCTGCAGACTTGAATCAGTATATAAAGGGTTTGTTTGTTTGTTTTCAATTGATGCATCTCTTTTTTTCGTCTTTGCTATTGTAATTAACAGATGATCACTGAAAGGAGAACTGCCCCTCAATGATCTTTCAACTCAAGGTTGGATGAACTATTTAATCAGTGTTTCACAATATGTAGTCATTTACAAAAGGAATCCTAAATTAAACATTACATGCATCTGTCTCCTGTGAAGGATTTCAAAAGCTTCCAGGTGACTTTATCTTCACTCTACTTCCACGCATGCTGTTTTTGTCAGAGGTAGCCTCAATGTGGTCAGCCTGCCATTTCAAATGTCACATGCTTGTTTGGAAATTCACTCTAATTTTCCCAACTGCAAACATCCATTAGCGTCTCACCTCCCATCGCTCTGCTCTGTCAGTATAACACAGCTTTATATTGGTGATACCAAGAGACTGTGTTAGTGCAAAATGAGTCACATAGTATTGGTAATGGTGGAGTACAATGCTGCGGAGACAGACAGGCCTCTTGAGAATGTGCTCTTTCATTATGAACTAAGCCAAACCTAAGAATGTTTTATACCAGTTTCATTGTTCAACTTTTTTGGTGATGGGGTCCAGTAGCTGTTTCCTTTTAGGACCTGACTTTTAGGATCTGGCAAAGGGGTCAAAAAAGCTCAACCAAGCCTTACTTAAACACTTTTAATTTATACTCCCTAATTTTTTTATTAGCAAAGTACAAAAATATTCAAACTGCATGTTTCAAATATTAAGCCACCATTAATTGTCACCTGTATAAGTTGCAGCTAATTAACTCTCACTCACAAAAGCTACGCTAAGCCACAATTTCATACTGTTAATAAACTAAACAACTACAGCAATGTAAAGCATGGATGCCCACTGAGAATTACCGCCTAAATGTAGTTCTCGCGAGCTCTAAGAGGCATTAATACACTTTGGAGATATGTAATATTGGGCAACACTTCACTGAAATAGGTGTGCACAAGACTGAGATGAAGGAGACATTCTGAATATTTATGACTGTTTTTAGTAAGTGTAATTCTTTCAAGTATATAAGCTGAATTTTTTCGTTCTAATTGGATGGCCTATACCATCTCACCTGGCTCCTACGCCTACATATTAAAAGGAGTCATTGGAACACAGGAGACTTAATTGCTAAGTTAAAAATTAGCTTTATTATCTCAAACTGTCACATGTGGCTGGTTTATAATTAAGTCAAAGCATTAAATAAAACAAGAGATTTCCCACATGTTCTATGCCCTATAAAAGTATACTGCATGAGTAAAAGCATGTTAAGTCACAAATATTAAAGTTAGATTAAAGTATATTTAACAAAATATACAGTATATGTTGGAATATTGAAGGGAAAATGCACTTTTACTTGGTTGAAAAATAAAATCTGGCGATTTTTAATCTGGATTCTACAGCGTAGTCATTTACAGATCAAATGGCACAATAAGACCAATGGGGAAAAGATCCCCAGTTCAATCCTGGAAGGAGATCAATCAATTTTTACATTGTTTTACACAGTAAATAAGCGGTAAACCATTAGTAGAATGCTAACATTTTATGAACAAGAACCCTAACCTATAAAAACAACGGCACCGCTACATGTGCAAAAACAAGAATAGGAGTAAATAGGAGTAAATAATGTTGTATGCTGTACAGATCCATTCACTGCTACCTATGGAGCATCACCTCAACTCTTCAAGTTAATTACAGTCATTTGTGCTACAGTGACTGTTAATAGGGTGTACCAGTGACAGCTGGGAGAAGCTCTAGTACCCCATGAACCTGTACTGGATATTAACAAAATGGATAGCTAGATGGATTAGTGGCTTTAATAGGAAGTAAACAGACCCCTTGTTCTTTAGTTCTCTCTTGATTCAAATTTCTCTTTACAGCTTCCTCTGAACTAGCTTCCTGTACACTTACTCTCATAAAGTCCAACTGTGCTGTGTAACAACTCACTATAACTTTTTTTTCAACCATTTTACAGAAAATGTAATTACATTATGTTAAAACTACACTACCACTAAATAAAAAATACAATACGAGTCTTAAGAACTGCCTAACAACTTTACCAACTTACCAAAGGTTTAAAACACTCACACTTTTTCCACTACACTATGGAAAAGTTTGACCAAGGCATCATTATAATGTCCTGTGGTTGGTTCAGCTGTTCAGTTATCAGACCTTTGATGTTATGCTTATGAGAGGTTATGTTGTCATGTCAACCCTGCATAAAAACAACATTCAAAAATAAGAAGACATCCCTGAAGCTCACTGATTTTGACATTTTCAAAGGCTAGGCTAAAGCCTGCTACATGAAGTTACGTCTATGTTATCAACACTCAGATGGTCATCAGCAGAAAGAAATGCAATCAGGCTCATCCTTTATCAATTTTTGAGATGTTTGTTCTGTAATTTTCCAAATTGGTCTGATCTAGCCGGGAAAATGAGTCTAATAACAACAACAAAAAACAGCATTCAAACTAGCCCACACAGAGCCTAGTGGGTGGGATGTTTTGGAAAATATATACAGATGGGCAGCATTGTAAAGATGTTGTGAGAGACATTTTGTAAATAACGCTGACATTTCTTTAATACAATGCAAACATGTTATTAAGTATCCATGCTGACAAGATGACAGCAGCCTTTTAACATCATCAAAGGATTTCAGATGATGTAACCATTTTTATCTAATGTGATGATGTTATGTGGAACAAGTGCCCCGGGAGACTTTCTGGATATGAAAAAATACATGTCAAAGCATATTCTGGCTGACACAGTGTCAAAGAAGTGAAAGCATCATACTACTGTTTCACGCCTGCAGTAGTGGTACTTACCAGTCCATCACAATTGCTGATAGCCACAGAAGCATCTGGCATGTCAGTCACATCTCCACTGAAAACACAGTCTCCTTGGATTCGTTCCTTGGCCTTTTCCTTAAAGTCCTCTTGCCATTCCACAAAAGCCCCTGGGGCTACCAGCCTCCTGTTGGCCCTCAAGCGGAGGTGCAGTTCTTTCCCAAACACAGTAACATTGAAAAATAAGTGCTGAGCCGACGCTGAGGTGACTGAGGGCATCTCAGAGGCACTGCGGGCCACCCTTCTTCTGCTGCCAAAGCCTGAGACAGCATCAACAACAGGAGCAGCAGCACCTTTACTTCCAATTCCAGCTGAGACCACATGAGAAATGTACCGGCCATGGGAGTCTGTGCTGAATGGCACGATAAGACCATATTCACTTAACTTTCCAGAGATTTTTTCTGATGAGACAGACAGTGTCAAGTGAGAATGACAGTAGTGACCTATGCAAAGCAAGTTCCAAAGGAAATGACAACTAAGCAGTTTAAACAGAAACTACACATGCACGATTGAGTAAAAAAGAGAAAATATAGACAAATAATATTTATTATGACATAATGAATTATCTTAGCATTAATACTGTCTTTATGAAACAACTATATATAGCTGACAGTGGATAGTCACAGTGGAAATACAGCAACACCCTACATTGATTGAACAGCAAGGCTGTCAGGTTTAACGTATGACCCATCAATAGATGCAGGGCTTCATTCTTATCATTATTCCCCCCCACTTTATAAACTTTACAGTGCATCTCTCTGCACCGTAAAAACATGTGTAAAAAATAAAGGGAAACGGAATGGATAACTCACCATGCGCTTTTGCTGCGAAAATACACTCCAAAAATACTTGACTGAGTGAAAAGCACATCAATAAATACATACAATCCATAGCGAGGACTATAATGTGAGAGCTGCCACTTCAGCGCTAAGTTTTCCTTCTTGCTGCAAACTGAGATCAGAGTTCTCCCTCCTGGAAAAGCACAAATGCAGGAGAAAAGTCCTCAGAGTTGAGCTCCAGCGAAGCAGCCGGGCATTTCTGAGCGTTTCCCTCTAGACGCCAAACTGACGGATACTCACAAGTTGTTTCCAATCTTTTGGCCTGCAATGAGCTGCATAGACCAAGACTGCCCTATCCATTCAGGGAGCAAAGGGGGGGACATCTGTGGTATTGATGACGACAACTCCCCGGTAAAAACCGGGACGGTTTGAAGAGGTTGTCCACTTTTTTCCCCCTTCCTCTTTCTCTCTTTCTTCTTAGGTAACTTTTAAATCGCAAGGAGACCAAGTTAACACACGCCTACGCTAAGAAGAAAAAAACTCAGAAGGGTTCAGATAATGTGTGCAGAGACAGACTGTCCCGGTGGTGAAACATCTGCCGTCCAGTCGTGCACCATTACGCACCAATGGCTCGGCTGCGTAAGTCTCAACTGCTCGACTTGAAGCCACAACCAGCTAATAGTGGGAGCGCCATCTCTGCCCTAGACGACCGCATATTTAGCCTCGCGACTTTTAAACTTCTAAAAGTTCTCATTCTGAAGACAAACTCAACCAGAAGCTTTGTCATAACTGCTAAGTGTTTACACACGAGTCCGCAAAAAAAAAACAAAAAACGCATAGGATAACGTCCATGAATGGAAAGGGGCGCTTTAACTGTCGAAACGTGGCATGAAAAATGAATTTAAATCTAAAAAACGGAGATAAAAGAAATTCAACGCGGCTACAGTCGTTTCTTGTTTATTTCAAGCAAAAGCTATAAAATGCAACCAAAGTTCTGAAGCTTCAGTTTTTGCCAAGGCAAATAACGTTAATTACCTTATGTATCCTTTTTACTAACATAAAGAAAACATTGCACATTAAAACTGGTTTTACCATATGTAACATTCTACCTTCGTTTTTTATCTGCCTTCAAAGATCCTTTAAATGTAGAGTCAAAGTACATGTTGGGGTAACGTGCAGGTGTGCCTTTTGAAAACTCAGGCCTATCATTGGCTAGAGGGATAATAAGCGATTTGATATAACTGCACGTTTTCCATGTTCTGGTATCAACAAAATACACACTGCATGATCCGATTTAATGACCTCAAGTGGTTTGCGTTTAAAGTTAAATAATCATGGCGAATCCTGCAGATGTCACTGCGAGCATATTGTTCCATTTTGGAGAAAAGGAACAAATCCAAAGCCATCATTTGAGGCTTAGGATGTGTGAAAACTGTGCAGCAGATTCCATCGGTGGAATGACAGCCTATTAAAATGCTGGATCTGCTCGGGCAACCAGGATTTTGTTGGCCACGGCTCAGTCTGCTGGAGTCCAGACTTAGTCAGACATGACAACCAGCCTGAGACTGAACCAACAACTCTGCAATCCTTCTCAAAGGAAGAGAAGGGGGCTGGGCTAACATGAGTCTGACTTTCAGGTACTTTTTGAGAAAGGGGGGGAAAGTGTCTAGACAGGACCTTCTTTTTCCTCCCCAGTTCCTCGACTGCGTCTGGGCCTCAGATAAGAGTACTCTGCCCTTAATTTTGGGCTAATTAAGCTACCAGGATGGTCAATGCAGAGCAGGTGTGGGTTTAGAGCAGTCATTCCCCCAGGGCAGCAATGAGAGGATTTTGGATGGTGATCCAGACTTGTGCATTAATAAGCAATGGAAACTAACCGCAGCATTAAGAGATGGAAACCATTAACTGCCTTGTGAGAAGATTTTATGCAGTTTTTCCATCCATACTGTTTGGAGGATTTTTTTCATGTGTTTCCAAAAGCCAGAATGACATTCCACAATATAACATAGTATTCAATTAGAAGTCTTGTTTTTCCCCTCTAAAATGAATAGCTCCACTTACAGTCTGTGGTTAAGTCCACACACCAGAACAATTTTCTACTACAGAACACTCTGTCCTTTACAACAGGAGTGTAAGATCAAAACTTCGGTATAGGTTTGTCTCCAAATCCGGTTTTCAAGTACAATTAGACATGTAAGAGTCAGTTTTTCTGAAAAAAAGGAGAGAAAAAAGATATTAGCTGACAGATTTCCCTCTCATATTTCACATAGATGGGCTTCAAAGCCTAAACCATGCCTAAAATCTGGCGCATATAATTTCTTTACAGTGCCTGGTTTAACTTTGTCAGGTGGAGCTGCAAAGAATCAAACGTCTTCTCCCACACTGTGTTTTCAGCAGAGGGGGAAAGTTGCAGTATAGAGTGTGGAATTGTGGATGCCTCAATGTGTGCTGTAATGTGGTCTAGCCATGCCAGCGTGCTGAGAAAATATGTGACTTTTCATCTCTGAGATGCAGAGAGATGCAAAGCAGCTGCTAGTCTGCCCGGCAGCTTGCGGGAAGAGCAGCGTCTGAAGTGTTCGGATGGTTAAAAATGAGCACACAAGTTTCACTTCACCTTTTTTTAAAAAGATGTGATTAATCTGGGAGCCCTGTGCAGCTCTAACAGAACTAAATCAACCCTGTCTGTTTCTTTGTATTTCAAAAACTATTGTTTTTCATTCAGTTTTGTGGGAAATGAATGCAAAAATTACACTACACTTCCTCTTTCTAGCTGTGGGTCCAGGTTAGGTATTAGGGCTTCTTTTAAATGGCAAGTAGGCGGTTGCAAATTCCAATTCTATAGAAGTGTGTGAGAAAACTACCCTTCTGCTGATTTGAATTCTAAACACTTTTCTGATTTTCTAGGGTCTGAGGTGTTTGTTTTAAGTCTTATTTATTTTGCTCATTTATTACAATCCCATTTATGCTAAAATAGATGATAAAGCAGGGTATGCTTGTGGCGACTGACCATTCCCTATTGTATGAGTGTGCAACGTTCTTGGCTTCTCACTCCCCCATCAGCTCTCCACTCTTACTGTTTTAAAAAACTAAAAATGAGTGACGCCGAGGGATCTTCATCCTTTTTTTAATACATAATTTATAAGTCTAAATAACACACTTAAGAATCTGCTACAATGATAAACTACTCCTTCTGCCCTTAGATTATCAAAAACATATCACGGAATACTACCTCTACCTTTCAATTACTGTTCATTTACATCTACATCTTGGGTCTCCGAAGAACATGTTTAGAACGCCATCCATCCATCTCTTTAACTCCTTATGAATCTTAGTGTCACAGGGGTGCTGGAGTCAGTCTCAGCTGCCAGGTGCCGAGAAGCCTTCTGTGCATTTCTGATAGTCTTGCATGTGTAATGAGACTCACTGACACTGACAGTGGCAGTGATGTGACATTGCTGTGACCTGTTCATGTCTGAAACAGAGTTATCTTTTCAACAAAGTCCAAGTTTGTCAGAGCAAGTCTTAAATCTCAAGTTCATGAGGGAAAGTTTAAGTTAAGTCACAAGTCTATAGATAAGACTGTTATCCAATAAAGCAAAAAGCAACAAAAGAATGTTGCTGATCTGACACCAAGGGTTGGTTTCATAAAAAGTATTTGTGACTATAGAAAGATTGAATGAAATTCTGTGATTGAATGTAAAGTTCACTGTATTGAATCACTAGCTTATACAATATTTAAAGGTTGCCAAACATTTGAATTATGCTCCAACATACAGAACATATCACTAAACTGAAGACAGCTTGGAAGAATAGCTGCTAAATCTGGTGCTATGTGAACTTCTATTTGTTCACCCGAAGTGCCAACATAGTTTTAACTCACTGGCTTAACAGCTTAAGCTTATTTGACTGATGTTGCACAGCTGAGCCTAAAACAGAGGACAAAAATACAATGACACATGGGATGAGTTATGACTGCAGCGCTGTTTGTGTTCCTTGGCATCACAACAAATAGAGCATTCTGTTTCAGCTTTGAATCAGCTAATCAAGCTTTGTATAAATTAAATACACATTGTTAAGTTAACATTCAGGTATTGTTTGAAATAAAGGTCTAACTTTGCAATGTAGTTTGACTGATTACTATGCAGTATAAATACACTTGCCACCCACTTTGTTAGGTACATTTTGCTAGTATCGATTGGATTCCCTTTTGCTTTCAGACCTCATTTAAGTCTTCGTAGATTCAACAGTTTAGTGGAAATATTCCTCTACACAGTTCCTGCAAATTTGCCAGGTGTACATTGATGATGCAAATCTGCCATAGTACCACATACCAAAGGTGCTCTGTTAGATTCAGATCTTGAAACTAATTGGCTATTTGTTTTATTATTAAATGTTTTGAGCTTTACATGTGTTATCCTGCTGAAAGCAGCCATCAGAACACTGTTGATATAAAGGGACAGACATGGTCAGCAACAATGCTAAGGTGGGTAATGGGATTGATCTTCAGTTTTAAAGTGTCTGTGGTGGGGCGTGGTCTGTGGTGCCGTGCGGATGCACCTGCATGGCATCTGCAGATCCCGCCCGCGGTGGTAAATCACGGGGAAGCAGGGTTGAGAGTGTTGTTGTGGTGGGATGCATGTAGAATGAATAAAGATGGCTCAAAATGCAGATCTGTGGTCCCGCCGTGCCTTATTCACACCACAGTGTCCCATATACACTGGCTTACAAAAGTATTCGGCCCCCTTGAACTTTTCCACATTTTGTCACATTACAGCCACAAACATGAATCAATTTTATTGGAATTCCACATGACAGACCAATACAAAGTGGTGCACATGTGAGAAGTGGAATGAAAATCATACATGATTCCAAACATTTTTTACAAATAAATAACTGCAAAGTGGGGTGTGCGTAATTATTCAGCCTCCTGAGTCAATACTTTGTAGAACCACCTTTTGCTGCAATTACAGCTGCCAGTCTTTTAGGGTATGTCTCTACCAGCTTTGCACATCTAGAGACTGAAATCCTTGCCCATTCTTCTTTGCAAAACAGCTCCAGCTCAGTCAGATTAGATGGACAGCGTTTGTGATCTTGCCACAGATTCTTGATTGGATTTAGATCTGGACTTTGACTGGGCCACTCTAACACATGGATATGTTTTGTTTTAAACCATTCCATTGTTGCCCTGGCTTTATGTTTAGGGTCGTTGTCCTGCTGGAAGGTGAAGCTCCGCCCCAGTCTCAAGTCTTTTGCAGACTCCAAGAGGTTTTCTTCCAGGATTGCCCTGTATTTGGCTCCATCCATCTTCCCATCAACTCTGACCAGCTTCCCTGTCCCTGGTGAAGAGAAGCCCCCCCAGAGCATGATGCTGCCACCACCATATTTGATAGTGGGGATGGTGTGGTCAGAGTGATGTGCAGTGTTAGTTTTTCGCCACACATAGCGTTTTGCATTTTGGCCAAAAAGTTCCATTTTGGTCTCATCTGACCAGAGCGCCTTCTTCCACATGTTTGCTGTGTCCCTCACATGGCTTGTGGCAAACTGCAAACGGGACTTCTTATGGTTTTCTGTTAACAATGGCTTTCTTCTTGCCTCTCTTCCATAAAGGCCAACTTTGTGCAG